ATGGACGAAAAGTAAAGGGTAGCCTTACTTTTTTTGCTGTTTTTTGGTCATTTGTGAAAAATGGAAAAAGTCGCTAAAAATGGACGAAAATAAAGGGTATAGCCTTAATTTTTTGCTGTTTTTTGTCATTTAAGAAAAATGCAAAAAGTCGCTAAAAATGGACGAAAAGTAAAGGGTATAGCCTTACTTTTTTGCTGTTTTTTGGTCATTTATGAAAAATGGAAAAAGTCGCTAAAATAAACGAAAATAAAGGGTATAGCCTTAATTTTTTGCTGTTTTTTGGTCATTTAAGAAAAATGCAAAAAGTCGCTAAAAATGGACGAAAAGTAAAGGGTATAGCCTTACTTTTTTGCCGTTTTTTGGTCATTGATGAAAAATGGAAAAAGTCGCTAAAATGGACGAAAGTAAAGGGTATAGCCTTAATTTTTTGCTGGGTTTTTTTTGTCATTGATGAAAAATGGAAAAAGTTGCTAAAAATGGACGAAAAGTAAAGGGTATAGCCTTACTTTTTTGCCGTTTATTTTTGTCATTTATGAAGAATGGAAAAAGTCGCTAAAAATGGACGAAAAGTAAACGCTATATAGCCTTACTTTTTTGCTGTTTTTTGGTCATTTATGAAAAATGCAAAAATTTGCTAAAAATGGACGAAAAGTAAAAAGGGTATAGCCTTACTTTTTTGCTGTTTTTTGGTCATTTATGAAAAATGGAAAAAGTCGCTAAAAATAGACGAAAAGTAAAGGGTATAGCCTTACTTTTTTGCTGTTTTTTTCTATAGCCTTACTTTTTCCTGTTTTTTTTTGTCATTTATGAAAAATGGAAAAAGTCGCTAAAAATGGACGAAAGGTTGGTCATTTATGAAAAAAGTCGCTAAAAATGGACGAAAGGTTAAGGCTATAGATAGCCTTACTTTTTTGCTGTTTTTACGCATTTATGAAAAGTGGAAAAAGTCCCTAAAAATGGACGAAAAGTAAAGGGTACAGCATTACTTTACTTACAAATACCAAAGTACACAAAAGTTAATAAGAAAACTATAAAATAGATTCAATTGCAGAGTAAATCATTACCCTTAAATATAGTTAACGCAAAAATTTTAGTTATCGAGGAAAATGTGGGTCATATGAACCTAGAAAGAACCTAGGATTTGTATGGTTCAGTTAAAGAACGTTTGATGTGAAATATTTATCGACAGTCACCTTGGGTTTATTTTCTTCGATAAAAATACTTCTTGTGCATGTAGACTGTAATTACTTCAAGTTTTTACGTTGTTACATACATTATTCCACTTCTATTTTCAGAGAAAAGGCAAAACATCGAAATTGCTGCATATCGCTTCCATTTTGAGCTTTTGACAACCTTCGGAATACTTGATACCACATTCGCAAAGTTGATTTCAGAAATGTTGACGCATGCATAGACGTGTTTAAACGGTGTTAGCTTTCTTACTTTTTTTGGATAGCTCAGCACATCCATTCCTCACCACACTTACGTCATCGATTGCCACATCACTGGTGTAACCATTGCCACGAACAGCTTCAAATACTCTGAAAACCGAAAGTAAGTTTTTTTATCTTTAAATCAGGCTGTTATCCATCGAAAGTAATTGTTTTGATGATAGGGAAGGTTTTCGACAATTTTCAGAAAGTTTGGACTAGTTTGAGGTAGTTTTTCAATGTTTTTGAATTTGAGAAATTTCCTTTGGTTCCCCCTTTGCTAGGGCTAAGGTACCCTGTGGTCCCCCCAATGCATGAGACCAAAATTTTTTAAATCATGTTTTTATTGATCGAAAGTAATTGTTTTGATCACAGGAAAGGTTTTCAACAATTTTCAGAAAGTTTCGACTAGTTTGAGGCAGTTTTTCAATGTTTTTGAATTTTTTAGAAATTACCTTTGGTCCCCCCTCCTTTGCTAGGGCTAAGATACCCTGTGGTCCCCCCTAAGGATCTGACCGAAATTTTTTAAATCAACTTTTTATCGATCGAAAGTAATTGTTTTGATGATAGGAAAGGTTTTCGACAATTTTCAGAAAGCTTGGACTAGTTTGAGGCAGTTTTTCAATGTTTTTGAATTTTTGAGAAATTACCTTTGGTCCCCCCTTTGCTAGAGCTAAGGTCCCCTGTGGTCCCCCTTGTGCATCTGACCAAAAATTTTTAAATCATGTTTTTATCGATCGAAAGTAACTGTTTTGATCATAGGAAAGGTTTTCAACAATTTTCAGAAAGTTTGGACTAGTTTGAGGTAGTTTTTCAATGTTTTGAATTTTTTAGAAATTTCCTTTGGTCCCCCCTTTGCTAGAGCTAAGGTCCCTGTGGTCCCCCTATGCATCTGACCGAAATTTTTTAAATCAAATTTTTATCGATCGAAAGTAACTGTTTTGATGATAGGAAAGGTTTTCAACAATTTTCAGAAAGTTTGGACTAGTTTGAGGCAGTTTTTCAATGTTTTTAAAAAATTTCATTTGGTCCCCCCTTTGCATAACTTGCTTATATTACGGTATGTAAATATGTTACCATTCAATTGTAAAAAGCATTTATATGCTTATTGTAAATTTACATTAATTGTTCTACTGTTACAGCTTTAGCAATGTCTTACAATAAGTGTAGTAATGTTGTAATACTTTATTCACATGTGCCTACACTTTATATCAACTGATTTACATAAATTATAAATAATGAATTCCTAATACACTACATCTTCCCCTGGGAACAATTTCCAAATATTATTCTACTTCCTATATATTCTATAATACATTTTTTTTTCTTTTCTTCTTTTTTTTAAAACATTATAGTATTAATAGATATAACTAGATAAAGTTCAATAATAGACAAAGTCCTTAGGCCGAACAAAATTTCTTCCATGACTTTTTGGAAAATTTCGCTGATATCACTGAACCCAAACGGAACACGCTTGAAACGAAAACAGCCTTTGTTTGTTATAAAGCCTAGTTCTCATTCATCGCAAACCGTCGGCGATGGGAGCTTTGCGACGCCGGCGACCGCTTGCCATTTATGAGAACACATCAAAAATTATATCGCCGATTGTCCGTAATCGTCGCCGACCATCGGCGATGACATCGCAGGAAACAAAAAAGTTTGTTTCTTGGGACCATCGCCGACTGCCACCTGCTTGAAAAATCTATGAGAAATGAGTAAAAGTTGTTTTTTCCTCTACAAGCAAGGAAATAATCAATTGAAGTTTGACAGAAATAATGAACTTTACGTTGAATGGGGCCATTTTGTAGGAAATTTGGGAAATTTCGAAACACATCGGCTGTCATCTGCGACGATCACCGATGTATGAGAACTTTCGTGCATTCGCGCTCGGCGAGTATCGGCGATAAGCGTCGCCGATCGTCGGTGACAGTTTGCGATGAATGAGAACTAGGCTTAAATAGGGATGAGCCGATTAATCGGTAAATAATCGGCAAAGCTGATTAATCGGCCGTTTTTTAAATAATCGGTAATCGGCCAATTATTGCCTGATAATCGGCAAATAATCGGCCATAAGACTTTTTCTGCAGCTGCCAATCACATACTAAAATACTGAATACAAGTGAATAGATTCCACATTTTGTGTAAAGCAGCAGACTAGCTCCGCATAGCTGACAGTGCCTTGTTTTTACACCATAATCTGCCAAAACTAAACTTTGACTATTGACATGAGAGACTGAAGCTGTTTTTAATTGTTCAAAGTGCGTATTGTAAACAATAAAACCACATTTACAACTTCATTGTTGGTCATCTTGTGATTTTTCGCTTGCTTTTTAAAATAATCGGTGGGTACCTATTAATCGGCCGATTAGTTACAATCGGCTTATAAATAATCGGCCTCAGTAATCGGCAATTTTCCTTATCGGCTCATCCCTAGTTATAAACGTTGTCAAATATCTACATTCCTCTGACAGCGTTAATTGGAAAAATCCGCTTCTTGCATCAATTTTTGCAAAATATTTTGAGCCATTTAGGGCATCCGAAGTGTCTTCTACTTTGGGAAGGACATATTGTTCCCTTACAATGGCTTTATTTAAAGGGGAAGTCAAGTCCGTAATGTAAACAAACGGTTTGTTTACATTTTGAACTGCTGTATTTTTTAAAATATGATGTACTGTCTGAATATCTAACACCATTTTGGTTTGCTATGCTTCTAAATGAATATGAAATAAAGTTTATGTTCAGAAACATTCGAAAAAATTCGAAATTTGGGCAATTTTCACATTAGAGGTCCTCACATTGTTATGCGCAGAACCGATGCGCACAATGGACTTGACTTCCCTTTAACTCTCTAAAATCACAGCAAACCCTTAAACCTCCTGATGCCTTAGGCACCACTACAAGATTAGAAACCCAAGGGCTTGGTTCGGGTATCTCTTCAATGACGTCATCCTTCAACATTTTATCAATTTCATCATTAACCTGCTCTATTTGACTAAGGGGAATTCTTCGCAGACGTTGGCTTACTGGTTTAACATTTGGATCTAGTTTAATTTTATGCGAATAATTTGTAATTTGACCTAACCCATGAAACAAGTCATTATATTCATTAACTAATGAGTTCAATCTTGGGTCATTAATCTTCTTAGAGTTAGAGTTAGTCTGCTTCACAAATTTGACTTGTTTGAATATTCCCAAGTCAAAACAACTTTTTCTCCCGAGCAGCGACTCGGCTTGGCCTTTAATTACGTACACAAAGCTATGAATAGTCATCATACCTGCTATCAAACTGGCTTTAAATCAACCAAGGCAGGTTAGCGGTACCTTCTGACCATATGTCACAAACTGTTTGGTTGTGCTTTCGAGTGGGTGTTCTTTGAACTGCTCTGTATACAACTGGGAAAAAATAATGTTCTGCCTACAACCGGTGTCGGCGACCATCTTTATCTTGCGACCATTGATTGTAATCTCGACAGGACTGTCTTGCCCTTCCATGAACAGAATCTGTTCGTCTTCGGATTCGCTTTCAATACACGATTCATTACTATCTGAATCTTTGCGTCGAATTGCACGGACGTTTCTATGCGCTTTCGTCTTTTTACTCGAAGTCTTTTGAGATTCATACGGCTTACGAGATAACCCTTCGAGCGACATCGCGAGCAAAATGTCCTAACCTTTGACAGTTATTACATTTCATACTTATGGCTCAACAATCTGCTGGCTTGTGGCCCACGCCGCCACACCTATAGCACTTGAAATTTTCACTATTGTAATTCCTATTTCGCTTGTCAGGGTTATTCAGGCGGTCAATGTTAATGATGTTGTCTTTTGTTTCATGACCAGAAAGGAGTCGTGCTTCTTTTATGGCGCTTTCGCTACTTCTTGCTATTCTGAGGGTCTTAGCTAGGTCTAGTTCTTCGTGAGCTAAGAGTCTTTCTCTTAGTTGTTTTGAATAGCATTTTTCTACGATTTGATCCCTTAGCATTTCGTCTTCGAGCGCCCCGAATTCGCACGTTTTTATCAATTCCCTTAACGACGTTAGATACGCATCGATTGTCTCATCAGCATTTTGTTTTCGACTGCGAAACTTGTGTCTTTCAGCAACGACGTTTCTTCTCGGCGCGAAATAGCCTTCAAGAGCTTCAACTGTCTCTTTAAAACTTTCTTTCTTGCCGGGCAATGTTCTAAAGATTCTTTGCACCGCCGGTGTCACAGGAGATTCGCCCCCCAGGAGATTCGCCCCCCTCTCAAAAGGGGGGCGATATTCCTAGGATATTCGCCCCCCCCCCCGGGGCGAATCTCCTAGGAATATCGCCCCCGAGGGCGGCAAATCTCCTAGGAATATCGCCCCCCTTTAGGAATTTCGCCCCCCCCCCTCCATATAAATTTTGAATTTTTGATCTAAAAACAAAACGATTGCAAGTTGAAAAGATTTATTGTGTGATTTATTTATTTATTTATTTATTACAAGGAGACAAAATTACATACGCAATTTAGGCTTCTTAGCAGCTGGTAGTGTGCACACTGCACCGAGTCTGCATAACCGCTCATTTGAGGTACTTAGACTAGTGTCATATTCTACACATCTAAAGTGGAACCATTGCCCACAGAGATCGCATAAAATCATGTTGTCGTATTCTTCTGACAGTTTACATTCACATAACATATTATAAAAACAATCGCTTGCAAATTTTATCAATACCAGTGTTAACAATAGCCGCCACAGTAATCAGTGACTAATCACTTGCTAACAATAAACTATAGGATTAATAAAAAATCTATGGAATGTGTTGGGAAGCGTATTGACTTTGTCCGTTGAATCATCAACTTTCCATGTCAGTGTTAGTGATGTAATCTTCATTCTTGACTTCCGCAAAGAAAATTGCATTATATATGTGGTGTGGTTTATTCAAATAATTTCATGATACTTTGATTTGGGCCGATTAGTGCCTTAAACATTTGAGAATGTAACTCTGCAAAACTAAAAGCTTTTTCGTCTTTTTTGAAACGTATATTATTGGAGTATTGCCTATTGGCAAGTTCTACCCTTGGCTTCTGAGATTTACAAACTATATTGAAATAATGCAAGTAAAAAATAGTGACAACTTATAAGCCACACATTTTCCAATAACGACAAAACGTGGATGCAAAACAATACCAGTAATTACAATAACCACCACGGTGATTACTTTTTAACAATGAGTTTAAGGATTAACAAATCAAATCAAATCAAATCAAATTTTATTAATAAATACATAAACAGTCTGTATATACAATACTATCCGCTAATAGCAAAGCTAATCGGGGCGGATAGTAGAATGAGATTAAATAAGAATTATAGATATGCTCGGTTATAATATAAAGTGGCGCAGTATACTGACAGCACAAAGCATCATTTTCACAAAGAAGAATTCCCTATTAATTTCCTATTAATTTCGAAGGATGTACTATTTTCCATGCTTACTCATATATCTAATTAATGTGGGCACATCAGCATAATCGTCCTCAATCTCAAGTATGGTTAAAAGACTTTTCTGAATTTTCAAATTGAAATTTTTTCTACCCAACTCTCGAACATCAGTGGGAATACTATTCCAAATTTTAACACCTGATTTTACAAAGGATGTGATAGTTGTAGTTAGTTTTGAGTATTCAACATAAAAATTAGTGGATACACAATGTCTAGTGTTATAAGTATGGACTTCTTTTGATTGGATAAAACAATCGGAGATTGAAGATGGACAAGAGCTATTTGAGACGTCATACATTAAATTGCAAATTGTTTTAATGTAGAGCATATTTAAAGGAAGTATATTGGAATGAATAAAAAGTGGGATAGCATGTTCCTTGTTTGTTTTAAAATTCATTAGACGTAATGCTCGTTTTTGGAGAATAAGTATCTTATTCAAATATTTTTTTGCCGCTTGACCCCAAACGGCTATACCATATGTTATATAAGGTAAGATTAAACATCGATAAATGTCTTGTAAGGTAGACAGAGGTACAAAATATCTAAGCCTTGTAATTATACCAATTGTTTTGCTTATTTTGGATGCAATATTGTCAATGTGGTATTTCCATGTGAGATTACCATCCACTATAACACCTAAATATTTTATAAATTCTTTACATTCAATATTAATCAAGTTATTGGAATGATTGTCAAACATTTTTAGTTCAACTTGATAGTCGAGCTTTTTTTGGTGAGAATGAAAGATAACATAGTTGGATTTCTTTTAGTTGAGGGTTAACTTATTTGTGTTTAGCCATTCACAAACTCCTATCAATTCTCTATTGATGATCGTTTCTAGAGATTTTAATTTTTTATCGGAGTATACCAAATTCGTATCATCAGCAAACAAGTAAAATTTAAATACCTCAGATGATTTGTGAATATCATTTATGTAAATTAAGAAGAGTAAAGGCCCAAGGACTGAACCTTGTGGAACACCCAAGTTAACTGTATGTTTTGATGATATGTAACCACCAATTTGGGTTGTCTGTATTCTATCAGTTAGGTAAGATCTAAACCAGTTGTTGATCACTCCACGGATTCCATAATGATGTAATTTACGTAAAAGTATAGAATGATCAACGGTATCAAAGGCTTTTTTTAGATCTATAAATATGCCACACGAAAATAGACCCTTGTCCAGATTGTTATGAATATTATTTATAATATCAATAATGGCATGCTGTGTTGAGTGTTTAGCTCGGAAGCCATATTGCTTATCATATAAAATTTTGTTTTTATCGAAAAACGTTTTGAGA